CCATATTGAACCTATTTTGCCTGTGACAATAATTGTTGAGTGATCACCCTGTCCTTATCTCAACCCTTGAGCCCTTTCTCTCTCTCTCTTTTCTCTTTCTCTTTCTCTCTCTCTCTTTTCTCTCCCTTTCCTTTTGAGGAAGGGGAGTGAGAGAGCAGTTATGGTGGAGCTCAGCTGTTCAGCCACATAAAACCACCACAGAAGCGATCTCACAAGGCTACAGAAAATGAGACTGTTTTATAGGTACCTCTTCTCTTGATAATAAACTAGAGGAACAGAGAAGAAAATGTTAAACTTTTTAAGCATTAGGATGAAAAAGGGAATTTGTCCCTGTACCTACCATCAGAGAAATTATCAAAAACTAGAAGCCAACCAGTATCTTAAATTCAGCACACGATGCATAAAGCCCCAACCTCAAATAAAGATCCTGTAATGACTGGCTTCTCACAGTCTGACAGTCACCCACCCGACAGCCCCTGTGAAGGGACTGGATAGCTGATGAAGAAATACAGTGTTTCTTAGTAAAATGCATGTATTGATACATGCCCTTAATATTTTTACATAAAAAGGAGATCATTCCATGCGTATGCAAATGAGACTGAGCCAGTTCGGTGACAGAAGTGTTTTAACATTGGGTGGTTCTATCTCATGAGGGAAGTCTGAACAGACTTTAATGCTGCATCTGAAGGATGAAATGACTTCAAATTCTTTAGAAAAAAAAAAAAAAAAAAAAAAAAAAAAAAAGCAGTTATGATAATGTTACAAGCCTCTTCACTTAATAAAACTGACAACCCTCTGGTGCCTCTGAAAAGCCCCTACAGCCCATCACAGCAACTTTCAGGACAGTCAATGCATTAATTATACAAAAGGACAATAATTCCTTATAGTTTAAAGAACATTTAATAATCCACACCCTTACTGACCTACATTTCATCACAGACAGAAGTCACACCTACAGCTCACTCCACTGCTGTTCTTGAGGTGTCTGAGAGCTCCCCTGAAGGAAATTTTAAAACTACCCTTGAAGAAAGCACACAATAAGGCAGAAATAAAACTAGTATTTTCAATCATTTTTATACAGCAAGACTCAAGGCTTCCTGACAGCATATCTATCTAGATTGCCTTTTCAGATTATAACAGCAAACCACAGAAACATGAACAAGGCATAGAGACGTAGTCTACAGAACAGTAAAATGGTAGAACTGTGTAGAAAAATTTCCGATGCATTTTCAACATAAAGGGGCTGGAAACAAGAATAGTTTGCATAATTTCTTGAAAATCAAAATCATAGAATCAAAATATGCACTAAACTGTGCCAGGCTTAAGAAAAGCCAAGCGAAGCTGCAGGCTTCACTCCTGCAATTTGAATTGATCTGAGGCTTGGTTGACACAGTCCTGGCCTCTGCACTGTCCCCAGTGCTGATTGATAAGAATAAGGATCTTAACATTCTCCAACTCTTCCTTCTGCCTCTCCTGCCAACTGTGTATCTTTTATACTTATTATTTTAACTCTTCAGATGCTTTAAAATAGAAAGGAGAGAGAATATGGAAGGAAATGTATAGGCCCTGGATTGATGCCATTGTCTTCACCTTTGTTAACTTGCTATACGTGAGCAACTTTGGAAATCTGAGTATCACCATCTACTCATTGTAAATATAAACAATTAAGTTTAGACTTAGCAACAAATACATAGATACAATAATTCTTATCAAATTTCAACATTAAGTGATACTAACAATGAACATCAGACACATTTGGTCTAGGGAGACTGTACACCCAGTGTTTTTCAATGACTTAATCACAATTCTGCTTGACACTGGTATATTAACTATTTTAGGCAAATCGAAAAACGAAATATCAGAACAGTTACATAGTTATAAAAACAAAAGGCACATTAAAAAAAAAAAGACAATTTACTGTTTTGAGGACATCTATATCGTATCAGTATACATAATGAACGGTGAAGGTATAAACCTACAGTAGCTCAGAGGGAGAGCTTGTAGAAGAGAATTTAGCAGATGATCAGGGTTAAAACGAGCAGACATACAATTAACAAAGACAGAGAATAAAAGATAACTGTAAATTGTGTAAGTAAACTGAGACCTTTGTGCAGTAAGGCACAAAGGCTGGCACTGAGTATGAGAACGGAGATTAAATCTGAATATTTTGCCTTTGTGCTTTACTTTTCTAGGTTGCTCTCTTCTGTCCTCCATTGCATTCAACAGGCCTCTTGTTCCCCATATACACCATGATGTAATAGTTTAAAGATTTAAAAACAAAACAAAACAAAAACACAATTTTGTAAAATAAAATCCAGTCACATCAAATAATGTATCAGAATTTCTTTAGTAATTGTTATCTATTAATAATCTATTTTAGCTGCAGTTTCATACCTCATTTAAGTGCCTTTTTATCTGAGATAAAGTACTGTATAAAGTATAGGGTGGGGTTGCGTTTTTATTTTGCTTCAGTATCTTCTGTATCTCTGTATCTTGTACATGCTGATTGTGAATGAGAACCCAGCATGCTCAGACTAAGATCTTAAAATCTAATGCAGGACTTTTTTTCAGGCTTCTGATATGGAATGTGCATTTTAAACTCCTGTTAGAGCAGAATTCATTCATTGTTTCCCTTACCTAATTTATCTGCCTCCTTCCAAGTAATAGTCGCATAGAAACATTTGTTCAGTAACATAAGCAAGCTGCCCAGGGAAGTGGTGTTATCTCCATCCCCAGAGACACATGTACACAACACTAAGGAACATGGTTTAGTGATGGGAGTGCGAAAGTCAGGTTTTTGGTTGGACTTGGTGATCTTAAAGGTCTTTTCCAACATGGATGATTCTATGATTCTACCTAGATATGCACATATTCAAATATATTGCAAATTTATATAAGGCTGCTCCTAATATATCAAAAGTAGAGCAGAGCAAAGCAGCTTTGTTTTTCTTATTGCCATTGTAATGAATATATCTACATTTTAAATCAGTAGTGCCCAACTTTTTGGTCAACTAGGCTAAACATATTTTTTTTTTCCCCCCACCAGTAAGAAAGGGCCATAGATCACATGACTGGATCTAGTATGGCTGAGTAAGTAAATCAGTCCATTTTGGCTGGCATTTCCTGGAAACATTTTTGTTTTGGAGTTGTTCTTCAGACACACGCTCATTTTTTGACCACAACTGTCTTACTGTTCAGTCTGAGGACTGAACAGGAAAGACATCTGGGAACAGATTGCTGTCACCAGAGCAATTCATGCAGCTTATCTCTGGTAATGACCGTTCTTATAGGCTTCTTATAGTATTACAGTACAAATAGATTCTGATGGCAGCACCAGCAGCAACCTTTTCACCACCATTCTTTTAGCAGTTCCTCCTCCAACCCCTTGTTACACAATTCGACCTGGGCTCATCTTGCAGCAGAAAAATAGGCAGCGACCCTAGGGTTCTGCAAGTAATTCATCCCAGGGTTCTGTTCTGAAAGACTTTCAAGAAAGAAGGTCACAGGGAGTGAGTTGCAGGATACAATGTCCTGGTGGGTCACTCACAGCTTATCAGCCACATGCTGAGCACACCTCTCCCCACCCCACCCCACCCCACCCCTTTTTTTAATAGAAATTGGGGCTCTTGTTCTGAATCTCTTAGAAATGGCTGAATAAATATTCTTATATGTTAAGAAACTGAAATCATTCCCTCTTTCATACTGTAGTCACTAAGATTTCTAGACAGAAAATGCTGCTTGAATGAAGAAAAATAGAAATAAACTGCTTACTAATCTTTGATTTCTCTTACATTACTGAAATTGTTGTGCTTAAAAGACTTGATGTAAAGACCCACCTGCTCTATGCTCTATACAAGGATTTAAATACAGATGAATTACTCTCATTGACTGGATTTTTCCTGTTGTAGCATGTATTTGTAGTAGCAGTAACAACTGTGCCACAGGGCTTTTCAATCCAATTATTTGTTTTCATACCAACACTTTATTGCAAGTATAAACCTGTACTTTCATGGTAATACAGCAACATTCCAATTAATTATTTTAGGAAAAGAAGGTTAGGACACGAAACTAGTTTTATAACAAGCTAAAGAGAACAAGAAAGGTGAGTTTAATCATCGTGAAGTATTATATTATAAAAGGTCTTCTATGTCAGTTTTAGTCTTTCTACCAATAGATGTCACTGTTGGACAATTATTATTTTTTTTTGTCACAGTGTTTCTTGTTTGCATATACTGTAAATGTAATCCAGTCTTCAAAGCGTCGTCTTTTGATCTTTTCATTCTTTCCATGGTACTTTTCTCATCTACTACATTCTATTCCCTTCTCCCTCCAATTTGAAAACTACTGCCAAAATGTGCCTATTTCCTTGTCCCTGGAGCACGTAAATATTCCCAGGTAGATCTGGCTGGGCCATGTTAAACTAGTGTCTCAAGTTGCAATATAATCAGGTTGGCACTCAAAACTTCAGTGTCTCCCAGCAAGTTTATCAACTTCTTCTGTTACATATATGGCCGGTCTGACTCCAATGCCAGTTCAGCTGCTTCAAAACCTTAAGAATTTTTGAAACTAACAGCAGTCCTGGGCTGTGTACACGCCTATATATATGTGCATATGTACACATGCATGCACACACACCACTTACTGACTCAAATCTTTCTGGTCATCTCATACTTTTGAGCTCCTCCAGTCCATTTCCAGGAAAGCAACTGATTTAAACAAAATGCCCATCATGATTTCAGTAATGATACATCATGCATCTTATTTATTTATATACATATATATACACACACACATATATATATTGCTCTCTGGCTTAGTCATATATAGGCATATGGACTCAGAAACCATCTGGAAAACTACATCCCATCCAAAACTTTCCAGTTTGCCAGATTTTTTAGAACACAGTTTTAGACACCAGAAATAAATGCATACCAGAAACATAACAGTATATAATAAATGCTTGTTGAAATCCAACATAGTATGAATAGAGTCCTACTTACGTTCAGTTCCAGGCTCAAATGCAACACATTTCTGTTGATCTTCTCCTTCTCACTTGACTGCCCCAATCTGCAATCCAAAACCCATGTATCTTCATCTCTGTTTGACACATCCAAATTCGTCAGTCGTTCAGTGAAGTCATCCTTAAAAGCAGTCTCTGCTAGAATGCCAAAATGAAATGAAACAAAATAAAGCATCTGCAGATAATCTCTACATATAAAAAGTTCTAAAAGTTTCTTTTAGAAATTGTAGGGCATGCAATTAACAAATACGCACTTTCAGTTTTCCTATTTAAAACAAAATGGGATAAATGGGATATGTTTTCTTTTCACTCAGAAAAATATACCTTTGCACTTAACTTTCATCTAGTGAAAAAGTGGACTGTTTGTCTTCCTGCCCAACACACACACAGACACACAGTGTGTAAGCTGCTTGAGTTGTCACCTCCTCTGCCAAGGTACTCTTGAATGCATTTGTTACATGCATATATTTCAGAGGTGGCTGTGAAGCATAAAAATTAAGCTAAGGAAGCTCAAGTGACTGATTAGACGAAGTTTCTAACATAAGTTAAGCACAGCCCTAATGGATATTGTACCCATTACAGCAAAAGCATAAAAAGCAGAATCTTTCAATCAGAAGTGGTATTTTACACTTTACCTTGCTCCATTAACCTTAAAAAAATATTGTCCTAGTTTTAGAACGTTACAAACATTTAGTTACAAACATGCAGTCATGAATGTAGTGGGAGAGGTAAGTGCAAAAGCTGCCAGCCAACAGTATACTCCTGTGTCATGCACTCCAGTTACACAGCATTCTCCTTTGCAGCACTGCGAATATTTCAGCTCCCCAAAACAATGACTCTTTTTCTGAATGATAGCCTCTAATTTACGAATGAGAAAAGCAATGAATTCCACGAGGCCAGTGTGTTCTCTGAAGTGTAATGTGTGACTTGGTGTAGAACATACACAGACCATCCTATCACATATGCAGTTCTAGAATCCTAGAACATTCTCACCTAGAAAATTCAGATCCCAACATAATTCAGAGCTGTCACATATGGTAATTAGCTTAACAATGCACAAAGAACTGTACTTACAATTTTGAAATTTATTTTTAATTTTTGGTATTTCCCCTAGTTTCAAAATATCATGTTAAAAAGAAGCACAAGAATCATAATCTCTAAGCATGTTTGATTAAATTTAGGCTGATTTTCCAAGCTTCTGAAGGCTTATAGCTCCAAATAATTTAGACACTAATAATGATTAGTAAAATAATTACAAATAATTATCAGTAAGCATAGCAAGGTAAAATACTTGGTAAAATGGCCAACTATCCATAAAGCCATAATATTCCCCATGAAAAGTAAAGACCTTATGGAACAGAACCTTTCATGAAATAAAGTACCCTAAAACACTGTAGCTGAATATAGTTGTTGTACTTGAATTTCACTTCTTGCCAAAAGAGCTCAGACGTAGTCTACAAGGTGTACAGTTTCTGGGCTGGAGTCCAAAGGCAGTCCCATTTTATTATAAAATGCTACTGCTCATGAGGTACTGATTAACTAACCATTCTCAAGATTAGGAAGCAATAATTATGTTTTCATAAAATATTTGTAGAAATTTCTCCGTGGTTTACTCAGAAGCAAGTGTAAGAATTCTGATTATACAGACATGGATAGCAAACAGTAATAGTTTATCGTAATGCTTTAATGAACCTTCACTAACATGCAAGATGAATATGTGTATCCCAATTAGTTTATTCTTCAAATGTGTTTATTTTTTTTCCTAGCAGAACCTCTAAATTGCATTCCACTTACAAAAGGGAATATTACAGCATTTGAACAAATTAGTCATTCCTAGCTAGGGAAGCATCAGCACATTATAGAAGAGGGATTTTCAAGTTGAAGCTACTGTTCATTCTCATCCTTCCAGATGGCAAAAGACAGCATCTCTGCAAAAAGAGATACACTAAGCTTTTAATTTTTACACATACCCTAAACTTTTTGAAATTATGCACTGCATAGAATATGAATTGTAATTGAATTTATAAGTATTTGCAATGTTGTTTTAATAAAAACGTACTTCTTGCTCTGAAGTGTCACATTATAGCTTTAACAGACTTCATGGCTTACTACTGACAAGAACAAGAGGCTGTTTCCTTCCATACCCATCAGTGCCCCCAGTCATAAAGCTTCTGCTCATCGGCTCTGGATCTCATCTGTGTCCATGCTGAGCTGATTTAACTTAACCCAGCAGATACTTAACTCGACAAAGAAGGACTCTCTGTGGGCCAAAGCAGGGTTGGAGCCAGGTGGTGGCCTGAGCAGGGGCTGAGAAGAGACTTGAGGAGGGGGTACAGCTCTGGAGGGACTGGTGGAGGAAGCCAGGAGCAGTGGTGTAAGGAACAATGAGCAGCATGAGAAAAGGAGCCACTATGTTCTGGCCCTGGTGTTGGGTCCAGCCCAACTCAGCAGGGGGACATGATGTTCGGTGTGAGGGCTGGAGACCAGAGAATGGGCAGGAGGTGTCCCCATGGAAGCAAAGCTGTTCACCAAGTGTATGCTTTTTAGTTTGGTTGGTTTGTTCATATAATAATATATATATATATATATATATATATATATATATATATACATATATATATATATATACACACACACTATAGATATATTATACATACACTATGTATATATAACATATATAGATATATAATACATATATACACTATATATATCTATAATATATATATATAATATATTCTTTTTTTTGTCTTTCAATACCATAATCAGTTTGTTACAAAAGCTTGTTAATTTCAATAAATAAAATCTAATAAAATTTGCCAGCTTAAAACTGTTTCTTTCCCACCACCATAAAGGCACCACAGTGCTTCTCTAAAGTTTAAACCCAGCCAGGACTGAAGGAATACATTTATGTCCTACGCCTGCAAGTACTTGCTCATGAAAAGGGAATTCCTTGATTTCAAAGGGAATATTAACTGCAAATTCATAGTTCCTATGATTACACAGCTCAAGAAAGAGTCTGGGGTAAAGGAAAAAAGGGGGTCTGAAGAAACAGGACTCGGAGGAGTCATTTGCAATGAAAACACTGAGAAGCTTTATGTACTTCATATTTTTTTCCCCTCCACTCAGAAATGGACAGTGGATTGACTGATTACACCAGCAGTTCAAACAAACTACTATTTGAATACAAAAGTAAATTATTTTAAAGCGTTTTACTACAGCTCATCTAAATTACAGGTAAGTTAGACTCCATATATACTCCATATATTCACTGTTGAAAAACCTGTCAACTCTTCCATGTAGACAAGCATAGTCTAAAACTGCAACGGCACAGGAAGATGAGCCCTGGTTAATCTAAAGCTCAAAGCCCACTCCTTAATAATCAAGAAGACTAAAGCTATGAATTCAATATTTGATAACAGTAGTGCTTCACACATTAAATGAAACCAATACCCAGTGATTTGCTTCCATCACTTGAGCTGTCAAATGGCACAGGGATTCACCCTTTCACTAGCTTCCAGCTGAATGAAGGGTGGCAGCTGAATTTTGACCTCACCTTTATTATTCCATACAATTAGCTCAGTGGCCACTCTATTTTACATTATTCTAGCTTCTGTAGAAAATACAAAGTTCCAGGTGATTGCAGAGAGGAAAAGAAAAAAAAAAGAAAGGTATCTGCACAGTATTTGTGAGTCAACTGAAGACTATCTGTATCATGCTAGCAAACTATTGTGCCAGCTTTTAGCTTTTCTCCTGATTCCTATCACATAATAATGTTATGTTTTTGTGGCTGTCTACTGACTTTACATTGCAAAAACTTTGAGTCTTGTGGTGTCACCTATAAAATCATACTTGCTTCCAAAAAACAAGAGCCAAGAGGAAATTTAGGCAATTTCTATAATTTCAGTGACTATTGTTGATTTATGTTTGTTTGCTACATCAATTTATAATGAATGCTTTCAAATGTCTGGGTGTTATGTACATTTTATCCATGTACATGCAGACAAGTGTATATATCCATTCAATCAGAGGTTTAATTAAGGAAATTTTGAAACACATATGCTTATCCTTAAGCCACTTTAATCAATTTGACAAGTTTTGTTGTTTTGTTTTGTACTTCAAAACAACAAAAACAAACACAAACTCTCCAGGAGAATCCAGCTGCTAACCAAACCATCTTCCAGGTTTCACAGCTGACATCACCAAGGTCATGCGTATGTAGAAAGAACTGTGCCCAAATACAGATTTGCTGCCATCTATTGCTGCCAAGGGGGTGGAAGCCACAGCCTGCTCACAGCTGGACTATCTGCTCTTTCCCCATTGCTACACCAGTCCTGGGATATCAAACCCAAACACGTGTAACACTGGCTCCTATGGTTTTCAGTGGCTCGAAATCCAGGAGATGACAGCAAGGGACTGGGGTACATACACTGTCTCTAAGAGGCAAATCATGAGACCGAGGCAAACCAGGACCAAGTCAGACACAAAATGAGTGTGTATAAAATCTGTCTAAAAATCTGTATATAAATGCGTGCATAGATATATTAAATGTAAATAATTATGCATATGCAATTCATTAAAATTATAGACTCATGTTTTATAATGAAATTAAAAGTATTTTTTCCACACTGATTACAAGTTGATTTTTAAAAATGAAAAGGAACCATATATTGCTGCTGCTTTTCCGTAAACTGATTTAATGTCACAGGGGTTAAATATTTCTTAATTCTTATTTTTTGAACTAAAACAAATAGATATATGGCAATTTTTATATACAGATACATGGCTACAATATGTGGCTATTTTTTATTACCACAAGTAATATCTTCTGCAAACTGAGAAATCTATAAAAAATATTTTTGCAACACTTGTTTTAGAACTTCACAGTTCTGTCTTTAAAAGATAACAAACCATTGCAGTATTTTTAACACACATTTTATGTGTTTTTTTTTTTTTTTTTTTTTTTTTCCCTAAAATACTAAAATCACAAAACAATTATTTTTCAACAAAGATCCCATTAAGGGAAAAAAATAATATAACACAACCTAAGCTACTGTACATAATCCCTGGAGAGATATTAAGCAATACATAGAGAATAAACAGCTTGGAAGCTGAATAAAGAGTTGGAATAATTCAAT